TTCTAAAAAAAAGGACAGGCAGTGGGCGTCGCGGATTCTATTTGCCGCGTGTGACGGCGAATAAGATCCACCCGCGCGTAGGGCGATTCTGTGACACCAAGGCAACCCGTTCTCGAAGAAAAAAAAAACCAAGGCAACTACTTCTGGCCGACCACGACCAGTTTGACCGTGGCACGGGTAGTACGACCCCTTCCTATGTTTCCACCCCAGGTGAGCCCTCCTGCCCTACGGTCCTACCCCGGCGGCCAAGATGAACGTGCGGCAGACGACGCACATGAGTCATGTCGGCGGTGGCGCCGGCGGGATGCCGCCGCGGCAGCCGCAGATGCGGTACGTGGCAGGCCTCGCCGCGGCGGCCGATCCCGAGTTTGTCGCGCTGCGCGCCTTTATCCGACGGGAGATGTAAAGCACTCATCGCTTCTCTTTGCCCCAATTGGGAATTAGTAGACCACTTCGAGAAAAGTCATAATTACTGGAAATATATATTACTGTATGTACTACAGTAGTAATATTACTCGCTGAAGCCACTGATCGGAATTTTACTGTGTAATAGTCCTATGTGATCTTAATACTAAACAGCAGCGTCAAGTTTAGGACGACGACGTTATTTCATTCCCTAGAATTATTGGCATAGGTGATCAATCATATATAGATAGAGACTATCAAAGTTGATGACTTCCGCCTGCATATAGATTTTGGAAATCTGGGGATGCAGCTGAGTCCTTTAATTTGTTATTAGTTACCACAATTTATTTACACAATCAAAGTTGATGGTCTGAATCTGATATAATATCGGCTATTATTGCTGGACATTAATCTTTTATTTGATTGCCGCTCTTGAATTCGCAGATTCAAGTGTATAGAAACGAGACCAGTGCCAGCTCACCGGCGGCGGCTGCTGCCAGTGATTGCAAAGCAGATGGAGTATACCTTGTATAGAAAATACCCAAACAAGGTGTTGCTCTCTTTTCTTTTTCTTTTGTATATGTAGATTGTTTTCGACCAACCAAGTTCATTTCCGAGCAAAAATAATGTTTGCTGTCTCCTGTCGTTTGGGCAGATGGACTACGGCAAAATGGCGAAAGGGCCAATTAAGCCACTCATTATGTTTGTTGTGAGGACCTTGCATGCCGAGAGCCAGCAACATCGACAAAACCAACAATGGTCAAGACAGATAGCTTCTTCCACCCGTTATGGGATAATGATTCCGACACCTGGTATCACACAAGGCGCAAGCGAAACTTCTACAACGTCTTATCTAACATACAACATGGATCCTTCATCTGGTGCCGGCTTGGTTCCAGGGAGTGCCAATAGTGGTACCTCGCTGCGAGGTACAGATAGTTTTACTGATAGTCTGCTCATATCATATCCTTAGGGCTGTTACTTCAAACTGAAATTTTTCTGTAGGCATGCTGTGGGGCTTCTAGCCTAGAAATCCAATAGACAGCAGCAAAATTGAAAAAAATCAACTTGTGTTTGGCCATTGTCTTCAGAAAAAAAAAACATCCACTAAGTAGCTATTCTCTGACAAAAGTGCTTCAAGTAATTTTATCGGAATTTGGCATTATGCTCTTTCAGACTCTCAATGTCCATTCTTTTTCTGGATATGACATAGTATCAGTTCGAAATGTGATCTCACAATGATCAGTCCCACAGTGCTTTCCCATATTCATCTATGACATCTTCCAAATAGACTATTTAGTCTTGGAGGGTTTTTTCTTCTAATTTGCCGGACCGTATTTTCCCATTTAGTGATTTGTATCTCTTGTCCTTTTTCCAGGGGGAGCTCCTGATGAGCATGTGAACACAATGTTGTCTCAGGGGATACTCCCTACACAACATGGTTGGTCTAGAGCGTCCAACAATAACCTTGTAATAAACACAGTAGACACACCTGAAACCAACAAACACTTGGTAAGAACTCTACACTATGCTTATGCTTTATCAATACCAAATATGGTACTCTAGTTACTATATTCCTAATGCTCGACTAAACACTACAACCTAAGTTGACTCAGGCATGCCCCGCACCTTCGAAGGATCTCCCAAAGGAACCAAAGTTCAGCTGCCCAGTCTGCATGAACGAGTTGGTCGATGCGTCGTCGACTATCTGCGGCCACATCTTCTGTCAGAAGTGCATCGAGGCCTCCATCCAGGCTCAGAGCAAGTGCCCTACCTGCCGTAGGATGCTGACCGTGAACAGTTTTCACCGTATCTACCTCCCGACCATGGACTGAAATGATCCAGCCATTCGAGGTGTGGTGGACCATCGACATCTGAACCTTCTCCTCATCGGCATTTTGCTGATTCTGTCTTAACTATTCTTCACATGGGTTATATCATTAGCATTCAGTTTTTGCCGAACAGTTTAACAAGTGCTTGAGTAGCAGTTAATAATCTGCATCCTTGGTGGTAATTGGTAAGGGTTTAAAGGATACGTATTGTGAACTTCATCTGCAAAGAAATATCAGGGTATATGGTGGTGGCTGTGTGTATCATTTGATGAGGCCGGGCGTTATCCTCCTTTTCGAAAAAGGGTACATGGTGGTGTTCACCCACTCTAGAATATGTGTTTGTGAAGTAAAGAAGATTTGGGCTTTGTGTTGTCCCTCTGAAAGAATATATGAAAGGGGAGGCCAGATTCCTTGAGATTGTTTGCCTTACGTGCCTCTTGGCTTGCACATTTGTTGTACCATTCCATGAACGTTATACATATAGATATATTAATGTTTTTACCCGCAGATCAACCTGCTGCTAAGGTTTTGGGTACCGAGCGAAAAAAAATGGTTACCAGGCGGTAACCGCAAATCCAAGTACCTCATGAAAAATCACCTTACCGGGCAAGAAATCCTGAATTTTTTAATTTGAATGAATTTTGGATGAATTTATTTCCAGATTCAAATTAATTCAAAAAATTCGTTCGGTAACCGCCTGGTATTTTTCTGTTACTGCGGTAACCAAAAATCTCGGTGCCTCACGAGATTTCTCTTCATCCGGGATCCAATCTCGAGCTAGATTAAGATTCTTGATCCTGGACAAAAAGTCATCTAGTTCATGGTCTTGCCAAATCATTGTCCTGCAGAGAAGTCATCATAGCCGGAAGAGCCGCAGATCCAAAATTGCGACCTCTTTCGACGTGAGCTACGGTAGCGTGTTCGTGTGCGAACTGCGAACACAACCTAACGCCTACGGTGACCTTTGGCAATGGCATGGAAATACACTAATGTACTGTAGGAGGCGTGGCAGGCTGACCTAGACTGTAAAGGGTTGCACTGTCATTTCATGAACTTAATTTTCAAATGCATGACGTATGTCTCCTTTGTCGTTAACATTAATGCCCAACCTTTTCGCTGCTTTCGAGGCACTCGAAGGTATCCGACAAGGTCGTCTGTTATCGCCATATCTTTTCACTCTTGTTGTGAATGAATTGTCACTTTATCTACAAGAAGCCTTTAATTCTAACCGTTTGGAAGGTATCCAACTGGCCCCTCTGCCCCTCCCCCCAATACATTCCTTGATGTTTGTGAATTACTTGATTGTTTGAAGTAGGGCGGATAAAGGTTGATTGGTTGGAATGGATAATCCTAGCCATAATAGGAGCTACCACTAGTAGAAAAACCCCCATTCGTCCCGGTTCGTGAGGGCCATTTGTCCCGGTTCCCGAATCGGGACTAAAGGGTCGTCACTAAAGCCCTGTCCCTTTAGTCCCGGTTCGCCCAGGAACTGGGACAGATGGGGCTCCACGCGGCCGCTGCCGCTTGCCCGGGCAGGGGGGCCTTTTGTTCCGGTTGATGCCACCAACCGGGACCAAAAGGCTTCCACGTGTCAGCATTTCAGGGGCTGAGTTTTTTGTTTTTTTCTGAAGGGGGGGGAGGGGTTGGGGGGTTTTGTAAGGATTAATTTAGGGGTTTCATATATTGTGTTAGCTAGCTAATAGAGAGAAGTGTCCTCTCTTATCTTCGTGCTTGGTCGACGCTACGTATAGAAAGGACTCGACACGCTAGCTAGCTAGTAAGCAAATGAAGGAAACTATTAAGTACAGAAGATCGTCATGAACATATACAGAGAGAAGTGATCGACCTCTCCTTCTCTCCGAGAGATTGGTCGAACAACAAGTTTTTGTATATCTTACCGACGGTACTGGCTACATATATATATATATATATACAATGTGTAAGATCTCTTACAATACCCTAACATATGAACTCAACTTCCACATGCATGGTGGTATTCTCCGGCTTTATTGATGACGTGGTCAAGAAAGAATCCAGCCAATTCCTCTTGAATTGCTCGCGTGCGATCTTGTGGTAGGAGTTCATTCCGCATCTCCCACATCTAATTTGAATAAGGGGGTCAATACATATACATGAATGAAACTCAACAGAAATGATGGTAATGAAATAAACTTGTGAATATTTTTGCTTACGCACTTCATATTGTCTTTTAGAGTAGCCCCGCCTATTCTTGGCCGCCGCGTTGTAGATGAACTCGCAGACGTAGTATCCACAGTAATTATTCCCGGATTCCTGCCACAAGCACTATACGAGAAATAGAGGTCAATCAAACTGATAATGAAGCATTATAAATGGCATTGATGAAAGTAGCTAGAATCAACGGGAGATGCATGGAACTAGCTAGCTAGTAGTACTTACTTTCGGGAATTTGCATCGCAGATCCTGCGACAGTCTCGAAACTTGTGTGGTGAATACTTTCCAAACCCTACGAGACAAAGAAAACAATTACTTGATATCATGAAATGAACAAAGTTGCCAATATGGTGCGATAATGATCGATTCAACTTACTTCTCGAGCATTTTAGACATGTCTGCATATTCCTTGCGATCTTTCCGTCTCGAGTCTAAGATGCTTACTAGTCCCTGATCAAGCTTAATCTCTAGGAGAATATAATGGAAACTGCACACGCATGCATATAACTCATCAGTTACATTAATTACTATAACCTCGAGTAATAATTAAGGGAAACCGAATATGCACAAGACAGTAACACTCACTTGAAGTTGTAAGGAAAGAGTATTGTATCTTTGTTTTGATTTATTACCAACGATCGTAGCAAGTTCTCCTCGGTTTCTTCGGCATGAAATTTAACCGTAAATTCATCTATGAGATTTGTGTTAATGAACCCAATATCATACATTTCATCTTTTCTGCATTCGAAAATCTTTAATCTACATAATATAGTGAGGATAATTACATATACATGCAATGAAAGAGCTGAGCTATATGTAGAGACTTAATGACAGAAGTAGTACCTACAGACAGTAGCAAGTGACCGTTAATTTATCGAGGGCCTTTATACTAAAAAACTGGAAGAACTCCTCAAATGGAACAGACAACTCCTGAATTCCAACGAGGTTGTGTTGATCCTCTTTAACTTCCAGTGTCAAAGTATCGATTTTATTCCCAGCTGACTGCGCCTTTCTGCAGGTTTCCATGTACCAATCATGGAATATTCGCATCATCGTTGTTAGAGTAGTTCCATCTTTGATGAGAGGCTTCTCGTACTCATATTTGAATTCTTCCACCTCCATTATATCAAAATGTGCATCATCATAATCTCCAGGATTGGTACCGGGCAAGACCACCGGATGATTAGTGACGATATCGCTAGACACCTTGAGCGGGGGCACGATTGGTTCGCTTGTTCGCCGAGCTGGGGATTTTTTCCTAGTTCTTCGTTCTTGTAGCCTTTTGTCACTGTAAGTACTTCCCGACCGCTTCGCTTCCTTATATGCCTGTTCAGTAATGCACTCATAGTTGGTTTGCAGCGTAGACAGTGGTGGTCGCTGCAGGGCATCCAAAGTGTGCTTTGCTTTCACCGGATCTATCTTCTCCTCCGGAGGTGGATGTCTCTTAGCTCTTTGCGTTGCGAAGTAGTCCCTCACTTGGGATTGATAGATCTCCTCGTTTTCCTTCTCGGTCATCTCGTATGGTAACTTCTCTGGAGTCTTGAGAGATGGACCGTATCTGTATTGCCTCCCACCTGTACTGCTAGACGCCGGAGCAGGCCGAGCGGCTGCGGATTTCTTCTTTAGTTGCTTACGAGGTGGAGGAGAAGGACTGCGACGCACCGGAGTAGCCGGAGCGGCGGCGGGTCTCTTCCGCCCTTGCTGACGAGGCGGAGAAGGAGGAGGCTGACTGGTCGGGCGCGCCGGCACAGTCAAAGAAGGAGGCGGAGTGCCGCGATGCGCCAAAGAAGGAGGCGGAGTGCCCTGATCACTTGCCGGAGGAGCAGGCGGAGGAGGAGGCGGAGTGCCCTGACTCGCCGGAGGAGGAGGAGGAGGCGGAGGCGTCCAGTTCGGAAGGTTGATGAGCTCCTTCCGCCATAGGCATGGAGTCTTCAAAGCAGAACCCAGCCGAGTCTCCCCTTCACCGGTAGGGTGGTCAAGCACAAGCTCCTCAAATCCCTCCGTTATTTCTTCCACCGTCACCCTAGCATATCCTTCTAGAATTGGACGGCAGTGAAAAGTTGCACCGGGTTCAGGAGGTCAAACAGAGCCGACAGCCGCCTTGACTTTGTACTTCTGCCATTGCGTCATAAGGTGGAAATGTTGAGACTCCGTGATAGCATCCACGGGGTAGCTAGCAGGAGCCGTGAAGACAGGATCCAGCTGAAGCTGCTCGGTGGAAGCCACGCTACTTCTCCGCTGAGTTGGCGGGGTAGCTTCGGGGGTAGCTTCGGCAGGTCGCTTGCTTCGAACTGCATCTTGTCCCTCTAGCTTCTGTACCCTTGCGTGCAGCTCCTGCAGTTCGATTTGCTCCACCTTCCTCCTCCTCTCTTGGCATTTGTAACTGCCTGCGTCCGGAAACCCAGCCTTCCACCAAACAGAGCCTGGCGTGCCTCGTGTCCGTCCAGGGTGCTCAGGATTCCCGAGGGCCATTGTGAGCTCGTCCTTCTCTCTGTCTGGAACGAATGTCCCTTCCTGCGCTGCGTTAATATAGTGCTGAAGCTTCATGAGGGGTATTCGCAACTGCTCCCTCATCCAAATGCACTTCCCCGTTACAGGGTCCAAGGTTCCGCCAACCCCAAAGAACCAAGTCCGGCAACTGTCTGGCCAGTTCAATGTCTCTGGTTCGACCCCTTTATCAAGCAGGTCGTTCTCAACCTTGGCCCACAACGGTCGGGCTTTGAGGTAGCCACCTGACCCTGTGCGATGGTGATGCTCCTTCTTCACAACATTTATTATCTTGTTTATTACTAACATCTTCTTACTCCTCT